TAACGATCGCGAATCAGTCGTTAGGCAATTACGCGATCTTTCGTCTAGCGAACGGGTCAATCGACCTGACAGCGCCGAGGCGACGCGAATCCGCGATGTTGATCTCTGGTAAGCGTGATCTCTGGTATCAGCGACTTTCTAATGCGAAGCGTTTACTTCGATGTTGCATCCTCGCGCGTGTGCTGTCTGCTCGCTAGCACTGTTGGAGGCGACGATATCGGAAAAGGAAATGACAGCACGGTCACTTATCGCGATGACTCGATAGACTTGAAACAATCCTGAGAAGGGGGAAGATATGACGCTGCCCCGGAAACTCGATGTCTTCGTAATTGTCGGCAATAATAATAACGTCAACGAGAAACGACCCATGGCGAGAGAGAGAGAAAGAGGAGAGTCTATTATCGGCGGTACTCGTTAGGAGTTTCCTGTATGGCGAAAGAAGCGAGGAAGAAAAGGACGAGGGAGAGAAGCGAAAGAGCATACGCCGATTCGCGTATGTCCCGTTTTGCTTATTTATTCTGCTTCAATAATTCGAGACAGAAGTTTCTCAGCGCGCCGATCCAAGTCTCAACGTGAACTTTTCATTGCGTCCCGCCCGATACATTCCAGGGAGCTCGCGATTCGTCGCGGAAGGAATATCGACTTTGCGATGCGCGCTCGTGCAGCTCGCATCGCAAAAGGGGGTCGACGGTACCAAACAACGAGCGAGGTACAATAGATGGCAAAGCGAAATGATCGTTTGTACGTATGGAGCTACGGCGGGACACATCTCACGTCGTTTAATGTAAACTACATACACTGCCTGTTAAAAAATTATATATATATTTTTTTAAATGAGACGTTTTACGTTAAAAATATTTTCAAACATTCCACTGGGCAGCGCTCGTTCGTAGGAGGATTTTCGTGATTCGGTTCGATCGTGAATTTAGAATCAGCCAACCGAAACAGACCCGGGCAAAAAGACCCACCTAGAAAAGTTAAATAAAGCGCGGAGCCAGAAAACCGCCATGGATCTTGCGGCGTTACCGGAAGCGACGTTCGGCGACGTGCAGCTTCGCGTCGGTGCGGTCCGAGTCCCTGATTGTAAAGATTTCTGTTTCACTTCCGAGATGGGGAGGGAGACGTAGGACTTTTATAAGATTACACGCGAGAGAAGAGTACGCTGATCTCTCAACGGGAAAGATAACAAGACCGGTCTCGTCGTCGCGCGGAGAGACGTTGGTCGCGTGCCAACGCGTAAAATTCGCGCAAGAATGGAACCGCTGAGCCCGCACGGGGGTTCCCTTAAAGTAATACCAGCAAGTATTCGGATAACAAATACTGTGGCGAACCAGCATTTTCTCTTATTAACGAAGAGAATTAAAAACGAGGTCGACGCTTATGAAGAAAGTTCCCTCGTTAGCCCCGCGAAAGATTGCATCCTAAATGCACGGATAAAATCATCTTAAATCTTAAATCGTGCTTTAAACGTTGAATTTCACATCACACCGACTATCGAAAAACCACACGGAGTAATTTCACTCAGGCCTGGTTTTACCAAGCGTAACTTGCATTTCAGTTGAATTCACATTTGCCCCTTTCTTAAGTAACAATCGGAAAGAGACGAAGAACGAATAGAAACCGCGCCTTAAACGTACAATTGATCAATCTATATCCATCGAAAACGTTCGATCCCGGCTGTTATTTCGCTTTAAAAAATATTTTATCGCAAATTCTTGATATCATGATAATGATCATTGTTACGAAGAAGATGGAAAAACTGAAATGATAAACATTCATGCCGAAGGTGTTCATTCCATTTTCTTAGCAGCGCTTTGCATGACAGGCGATGAACAGGCGCTGTTATCATCTGCGTATATAGTCACCCTGTAGTTTCAGTGGTGCAGGAGAACTTGTTAGCGATTACAAGTAGATCGTGTTGTTTCGAGCATTTATCCAAACAATGTTGCAACGATGTAGCATCACATCTTGTCCTAAACTCGCGAGCAACCTTCTATCTTTCTTCCCTCTCCTTCCTCAATGTTCTCTCTCTCTCTCTCTCTCTCTCTCTCTCTCTCTCTCTCTCTCTCTCTCTCTCTCTCTCTCT